TATAATTATGTAGAGTATTCCCACCGTCTCCTTTCAATTTGACATAACATATATGTTTTATTAGATGCTTGTTGAGCTACCTTTCTGGCGCTATACTTGAAGAAATTATATTCTCTCACATAATGTTACTGAATTTCATTGAAGGTGATAGTTAGTGACCACGGCATGACTGAGAGCGGTAACCATGGGGGTTCTTCATTTGAAGAAACTGATTCATTGGCTGTTTTTGTTGGTCTGGGTGATCACACACTTGACTATGCATCAGCTACAAGCAATTCAGCAAACCAGGTATTCTATCAATTTCCACAATTTATCTTTTCCAGGGGGAGTAGAACTGTTTTGTTCATGGGACAAACTGTCGTAATGAAGCCAGAATTGGATTGGAATTTCTTGCAAACAGTAATCACAAAAAGTTTCTTTAGGCACCACAACGCGGCTTCTTAAGTATCAAATTCAAGAAGAGATTTGCATCAAATATTTCAAAAGAAAACTCTGGCTTTAATTTCATTGAACTTCGTCAACGCCTGCGTGTGTAATGTATATGTAGTGTATAGAGTCATAGTCCAAGGAGAAACGAAGAACCTTGGAATCTTACTCTAAGTAGGAATTGTAAACTTATTAGGCGTCCTATTTGATGTCTAATCTCTCAATAGAATAAGCAAACCTGAAAGGAACTTTCAACCTCAAATTTTCGTGTGAAAATTCGACAATATACCCATGCTAGCTGGAAGAATAAATTATAATTGTGCATTACTAAAGGAAGGACAAGATTGTAATTTAAAATGCAAATGGACTTATCATATTTATTCAATAAATCTATCTTTTTGAGATTCTATATTTAAATAAGTGTCCTTATCCTTCAATAGTTTAAAGCTTTTTCATAAAATAACTCAGATCATATTGTTCCTTTCCTCTATCAAAACATATTCCATATTTTGCACACACATAAGAGTGCCATTTTTGCTATTGCTATTATATAAGACTGCCGGTTAATATTAGGAAATTAGATATATGTAAACGCGACATGGAGAATGGAATTTCGTGTCACTGTTTCATGATTAAATACATCCTTAGGGTGCTTAATCTCCCCGTTATGTAATTGTTACTGGTTTGTGGAGTACTTCTTCAAAATTAACTTAATAACAAAGTAAATGCGAGAAGCAAATGTTGAAATTTCTTGCAAAACTTTTCATGAAAAGCGATGTGGTGCAAACAAGAAAGTCAAAATTTTCTGAATGATGACTTGTAAAACAAGCAGTTGATTATTTTTATAGTTTCTAGAGAAGTACAAGAAAATGGACCTGACCCTGAAATAGAAATTTGTGAATTCTGAAAATAAAGTAAGAGCTGAGGGGGGAGAGAATTCATTTTCCGGATATTCTAATTTTATTATATCAAGTGCCTATCTTTGACTCTCCTCCCAGGCTCCCACAGTTGGGCTGATAGTTCTAATTACATTAATTCAAATCGCTTGGTCAACTTTTTCTCATTATTGGCTGAGCATCGCCTATTGTTTTACTAGAAATTTCTGGCAGAACTTCTACCAAAAGATCTTTTAACACCTACAAGCTTGTTGCTATATTTTAAATACAGGAAGCTCATATAAGAAGAGTGACTGACATTAGTCCTGTAGATCTTGCTGACCTGTAATCAAGTCTAGTGTAATGCATGTTTGAACAGCTTCTCTAACCTGAGGTAATTAAGCTATTTTGTAGCAAGTCTTACTTTTGCCTCATAGGCATTTATATACATCTGATTTCAACCTGCATTAAGTCCAAGTGACAGCATCTTCTAAATTAAGTAATAGTGAGGTTACTTTTCTGCTAAAAGACTGATGAATAGCAGAAACACGATCTTTTTCAATTTCTGTCCGCTATTGGCAAAACTCTTTCCAAAGGATTGTACCAAGGTCATGAACCATCGGAAATATGTTATTTTGTGGTTTCCTCATTTATTTCGACAGACAACAATGGTTTTAGTTACAATCCCGTGATTTTTATGATTTTAATATTTATGACCAACTTTATAGTTCAACAACCTTTCATTCTTCACTTATTCTTTGTGATGCAGATTGACATTGCAGCCACTTTAGCTCTCCTCTTCAATGTACCGATACCAAAAAACAATATTGGGGTTGTCATCCCTCATGCTCTTAACTTTATGACAGGTTGTCTCTCTCTCTCTCTCTCTCTCTCAGCCCACGAAGACTATTGGAGATGCACTGATTTATTTTCTCATTGAGCTAAGTTACTCTGTATGGACATGCATGGTTCATCAAGTCAACATTTTTCAGATATTATGAATTTTAATTATCCCAATATTTTCCGATCAACTGCTGGATGATCATGTCAAGCATTTCTCCCCATATTGGCTTTGTCCAATGGGATTTTCCTTGGTGCAGATAGATGAACTGATCTTGAGTCTTTCAAATCGAAGAAGCCTATTTTCAACTCGCCCATCAAATGATAGATTTGATGGTATTCGTTGTGGACATTTCTCTTGGATTCATACGTTGTAGTTTGAGATCTATAATAGGAAAGCTTCCTTGACCAGAATATTGACTTCCAATAATCTCAATGATCGTAGCGTTTTTCTTGGCAGTTAGTGGGGTTAATGGGAAGACCACATCAGTTTTTTTTTGTGCTCTTTGTTGTCTATGAGAAGAACAAGGTATAATTTTTCTGTTTATTTTTGGACATAATTGGTGCAAGTGGAAATCAAAGGAGAGTAGTATTGTTGATCGCGAGTACTTCTTTGGTGCATGTGAGTATGGATTTTCGGGAACTTAGCATGACACATCTGTATAAGATGAAGATTCTCTTTGGTTCTGTTCCTTCTTCTGTTGTTGTATAATTATGATATATCCAGAAATATTATAAGTATTATGCATTGTTCTTTCTTTTCCTTTTCTTTTCTTGAAAATTATTTATGTGGAGTTCTAATACATAACAATGTCGATCTGTTACGTTAGTTTAGTTGTCTGATTTAATTTTCAAATTGTGAAGAAAGCCAACACTAAATTGGTCGTAAATAGCAAACTGAATCAGTATAACCTTCCATTTGTTCTTTGAAAAGCCCCTGAAGCTAGGATACCAAGTTTGCATCTATTACTAGGTCAGCAACTTCAGGCATAATTTAACAGTGATTGTGAATAATTTATGATGGTGTGGTAGCTGGTGGGGGTCATTTGTGATTTAGCAAGGAAAAGGTCGATTACTTAATTTTTGCGATTTTCTTTTCTTGAAATGGTCTTTTATGTCCACATTAAGTGTATCTTTTAGCTAGTTAGTGGAAACGTAGGGCTGAATCAAGAAATGCTGGATTTTGAGGTATTCTAGATTGGTTGCTAGGTGGTTGGTTATTCCTGTATTTGAGTGAAGAGGATATTGGTTATTGTCATGTAGCTTCTGTATCGACATGTTTCATAGATCTTCCTTTTATTACTTCTATCTGGGTCCTTTTTTCCCGCGATTTATAAAAAAGAATAACCACTGTATATTCTTTGAATATGTGCAGATGCTGAAAAGCTGAGAGCTTTAGAGTTAAACTCTTGGCAGTTGTTAAGATTGTTACAGGCCCAGTTATTTGGTCTACCCTGTGAACATGTATTAGTAGAGGACTTTACTGGAGATAGAAAATCAGTGGTCAGTGAGTGCAGTGGAAACATAGAGCAGGTCTTCTGTTGCTTATATCGGAATGCTGCTATCCTCCGCAGATCCTGGAAGTTCAAGAGGATCTCCATGTAATAATTCTTTAAAGCATCACAGATTCACATATCGAACGAATGTTACATGAGCAAAATTTTACATGAGCAAAATGATGATTCTTTGTTCTCTTTGGCACTCACTTTTAAAGGTCAAACATTGAAGACTATAATAGCGCTGCCGCAGCATATTATGTGTTCTTGAGGACTGCAAGTCAGTGGCTAGCTCGCAGAATGACTGATGTATGTATCTTTTTGATCCACCGACAACAGAGGTTCTTTGTTAGGATGTCGATCCAATTTCACTGGTGAACGTGATGCACATAGTACCATAGAAGAGCACACAAAACCGGATGTGATTTAATCTGTCTTTTTCAACTTTATTTTTTTCCATGCAGTAACAAGTAAGCATTTTGCAGAAACCTGTCAGCCTGCTTGTTGTTGGAATTTCAGCAATGCTTCTTTCATGTCTGATCTTTCTGGGGCTTGTATTTCATATGAATAAGGCGCTGTACCTTAGTAAAGACCGTCATCTTTCCAGCTCGAAAAAATATGCCTTTTCCTGGCATTTGGATGAGATCTTCCTTGTGGGTGCTACATTGATTCATGTCATAAGCATGGGATCCAGTTCTATGGTAGAGGAGGAGCAATATATTTGGCATTTTGTGTCGTCGACATTTTATCTGTTATTAATTCGGAAAACTGCACAGACCATTCCGGCAGATAGAACTCAAAGTTCACTCGGCTTGTCCATGTCTCAGAATGGAAAGATCAATTATCCAATTATATCCATCTTTTCTGTACTTGTATCTGGAAGAATTTTAAGAGCCTGGCACCAGGGTGGTATAAACTGGGCAAATCTTCCTGATATTTCTAAATGGCTAAAACTGGCAGGACATGAATATGTGAAACAACTTTGGCTGCTGGCCTGCCTGTTGGTGATCATCTTAAGTATATATGTTCTGTCATTCTTATGGACAAGGAGGAAAATGGTTTTAGTGGTTGGATTCAGCTTTTTTATCCCAGGATTGATGGTTTTGAAATATATAATGAGTCACAAGGATGATACATCAGGGTCTTTTACATACAGCTACGGTTCCACTCTATCAGCACAGAAGATATTGGGAGTTCTTGGTGCTCTTACAGTTGTGGCTGTTGTAGCTGTACCGTGGCTAATACGTATTTGGACTTCCAAGGCATGCTCTAATGGTCATATCTGCTTGTCTACTTCTGTTTCCCATGACATTCTAAAGTTGTCTCTGCTGATGGAGATGAGAGACTCATTTTATGTCATAGGGTGGGCATACATATTATGTTGGTGTCTCCTTCAACTTTTGCTCCAACAGCCAACGAATTCGTTGCCAGTGCTTTTGCTTCTTGTGCAGATCTATGCCAGCATGCTTCATTCTTTCAGTGCTGTGCCTGCTCATAAGCATTGGATTGAGGTCAGTTACATGGCATCTTCTGTGGTTCCATGCCAGGTTTAGCATGCGCCTGAGGGCATTTATGTGCTGGGTGGATCATAGACAGAAAATACACTTTTTCTGCGATTTCATTCTCTGCTTGCATAAATGAAAAGATATTGCCAGATCAGCTGTTCATCCAGTCTCAAATCAGATGTAATAGTCATTCAATTCTTAGGTTTTTAAAACTTCAATATTGATAAACTTGACTTCTAGCTCTATCAAAATGCACGTGCTTTTTGTCTCATGAATCGCAATATGCATCTAGAAGAAAGGATATTTATATTTTACAGAACAAGAATTTCTAACAATATACTATTTTCCAGTACGAGTTTATTTATTTGGGGTAGCTCTCTTCAAACAGATGTACTTCCATTTGAGCACTTGTTGACAGCAAATGCCAAGTGCAAGGGGTTAGGGAAGCTTGTGACTGTACTTACTCATTCCACATAGCAGTTGGTCAACTGGTGGTTGACTTTCTTAGCGGTAGGAAGATTTATCCTGAAAAGCAGGGAGAGTTTTGGGACAGGTTTTTGTGCTAGTCTCCACTGATGTTGTCTTCATTTTTTAGCGAACTTTCTCATGGAGTGTCTTTAGCTGCATCTAGTTTATGTATTGATTGATTGTGTCGGTCACAATCATGTATTGACATTGGTGGTTTTGCTGTTTATGTAGGTCGCTGCACTTTACCAGTTGGGAATGGCGGGTCATTTTGCCCTTGGGAACAGCAACTCTCTAGCTACAATCGATGTTGCTGGTGCATTCATTGTAAGCCTCTCATAATCAGGAATTTTTCCACGGTTGGGGCTGGAGTAATTTTACCGGTTAAAAGATAGTTCCCATAGTTCCCTAACTTCTTTAGGTCATTGGCAGGGCACTTCAGATTTCTCGATGCTCTCATCTGGCGTCTTGATGTTTATGATCACCTATGCTTCGCCGCTGTTGTTTCTCCTTAGCATGGCAATGTGGATTTCTGTGAAGGATTTTAGTTGTCTGATTACTTCGCGGAATGCTAATTGTGGAGATCTCCTAAAGATGATGCTTGGTTTTCCTTGTGTAATACCTTTGTGCCTGAATTCGGTTATGCTGACTGCATACACTATCATACTGCTACTGATGAGAAATCACTTATTTGTATGGAGTGTCTTCTCTCCAAAGTAAGTCTCTCTATCCTTTAACGTGCATTTTTTAATATATAACAGTAGAATTTCCATAGAAATGTGGGGATTGGATATAGCTAGTGTGGATAAGACTATTTTGTTGGGTGTTCTTCGTGGATATTTGTACTCTACTAGCAATCTCGTCTCCAGGATTATTCTCATCGTGCATATTTTTGGAGTTTTGTTTTTCAAATATAAATTGTAACAAGAGTGTGGATTCAACATCTATTTTATGCTTGTTAGTGGGTTCTACTTTGGTTTCTTACGTGTGTCGAGATAAATTTGTCTTGATTTGTTGGTTTTACTCGTATGGCAATGTTTTCGCCCTTTCCGTACCATACCCTCTACCCTTCTTTCAAAGACTGCATATTTTTCACTTAAGTACGATATTGCAACCCTTTCTCTTACCTCTACCGAGACAATTTATACTAAGTCAATACTCATATTTCATGAAGGTACCTTTATGTCGCCGCTGCAACAATTTGCGTTTATGTGGGGGTTTTCGTCATAGCTGCTTCTGGAACTTATATATACCTGGTGGTGATTTATCGGAAAAGATAAGATTAGGAGCTTCAATGGCGGCATGAGGTAGATCTGCTAGTACTCACCGATACAGAAAATTTTGGTACTTCTTAGCAAATTTGTACCATTCTTTTGGCTTGGAGCCATTGCTCATAGTAAATTTAATTGGTAATTATTTCAAAACGTTTCTCTTTGCAATGATGAGTTGGACGTGTTAAGGTGTGCGTTGGTTTGAACAGTAATAGAATGAGTGAGACAATTTTCCGGCAATACTACGTGTAAACTTCTTTGTTCTTTTATAGGGATGGTGCACTCCATAGATTGAAATTTTATTTGTGGTTTTAAGAAATTTGAGTTTGTTCGATCCTAGTCATTCTACTTTCAAGATTTGTGGGATCTGAGTCCTCACGTCATAAGCATATTTAATTATGTTAATGTGGTTGATGACATGGCTACTTCAGAAAAGAACAGTATAATATTCAGTTAACAAAAACCAAACTCACTCTGCTTAGAAGAGAAAAAATGCAGGCAATGAGGGCGAGATAAAGACACTCTTATCACCACCACACCACTGCCTGTCGGCTGTTCGCCGTCACCACCGCCAGCCCCTCTTTGAAGAACCCTAACCTTTCTCTCACAAAGCTTAATGTTGTTTCTGTGCGAGACTCCTCTGCATAGGGGTTCTCTGGCAACTCTGAGCAATGGCTGGACTGGCTGTCTGTTGTGGCGAGCCTCGTTTCATCCCTACCTATATCGCCTGTCGTTAAAATGATGCTCAAGGCAATTGTAGCTCCTCGGAATCCAAGATTTTGAGGTGGTAAAACAGATGTTGACATTACAAGAAAATCTTCACAACACTTTATGGCAGGGGAGAAAACGGAAGTATGCACGATGCTACCTTCACCGTTCTGACGAATCTGAGGATCGCCCTTGACAAGTACATTACGAGACTCACGTGTGTGGCCGTTGCAACTTCTGAGTTCAAAATTGTAGGCGCACTGTGGAGAAAATATTAGGTGAGACTGTCTTGTCATGTCAGCGAACAATCACTCCATTCAACGTAAGACACGTGTCCGGACGGTCCTACTCGTCAATTTTTTTTGAAAGTCCCTCTCTTCTCTCTCTCCGTTATCTCCGTTTACCGTCCCTATTATTGAGAAAAAAGAAGATATTTATGCTCTCTCTCTCTCTTCCTTCACGAGTTCACTCCCAAAAAATGAGAAAACGTGTCTTTGCTCTCTCTCTCTCTCTCTTCACGAGTTTACTCCCTCTTTCAATTTTCTCAAAATGTCATCTCTACCCTAGAATCGCTACAAGTTCACTTCCTCTTCTCATTTTCTCAGGAATTTCAAGGAGTTTCTTTGAGTGAACTTGTTGCGATTCTGGGGGAGAGACGTAATTCTAAGAAAATTAAAAGAGGAGTGAACTCGCGAAGAGGGAGGGAGAGAGAGAGAGAGAGAGAGAGAGAGAGAGAGCAGCGACACCTTTTCTTTCTTAGTAACGGGGACAACAAACGAAGAAGTAATGGAGAGAGAGAAGAGAGGGACTTTCAAAAATTTCTAACGGGTGGGATCATTTGGACACGCATTGCATACTCAATAGAATTGCTGCTTGCTGACTTGGCAAGATAGTCTCACCAACGGATAATTATACAAACAGTCCCTGAACCTTGACCCAATGTGCAATTTGGTCCATGAATTTTTAATTTGTTCAACGCAGTCCCTAAACTTTAGGCTAATGTTCAATGTGGCCCCTGAACTTTTAATTTGTTCAATGTCATTCCTGAACTTTTGGTACATGCTCAGTTCAGTCCCTGAATTATATGAAAATGTTCAATATAGTCCCTGAACTTCAATTAATGGAAATGACTGTATTGAACATTTTCATATAGTTGAGAGACTGAATTAAACATGAACTAAAAGTTCAGGGATGATATTGAACAAATTAAAAGTTCATGGACCATATTGTACATTAGATTAAAGTTTATCGACTATATTGAATAAATTATAAGTTCATGGACCAAATTGCACATTAGGCCAAGGTTCATGGACTATTTGTGTCATTTTCCCTCTCACCTAATATTTTCTCGGTGTATATGGTCTGGAGCAATCCTGGAAGTTGGATTACCGCCCAACTTGATATAGCTCTAGAAATCGAATCAAGGGGTTTATACAAACGGTTATACACCTTCCAAGCCACGTCGCTACATGCCTGATCGATCCAAGGCATTGTTGGGCTAGTCTCGAGAGGGTGAGCTTCGCACTCGGGTTTTCTGCTCGACCTCGGTTGTGGATCTAGCTGGCTACTTTGATAGCAACTCGCTTGCCGCGGAGGCAACATGCGATCGCGAATTCGCGACTCCTTTTGTAGGACTTTACAAAAGAAAGGGCACTGACCCGAAATGTTACTTTAGACAAGCTAAGACTACAAGATCATTAGCTGGATTTGCTTGTTGGGAGTGAAATGAAATCGAAAAGAAGGATCAAAAGTGGTGGCGTAAGTTAAGACGTGATGGATCAACCAAGTTGAGCGGTGGAAATTGATGCTGGGCCTACAATGCGTCGTGGGAGACGGACCACGCATGGTGGACATATTCAAGGAACCATCATAGTACACCCAATCTCTCTCTACAGCAAGGATCAATTCCCCAGTAGACTTCCAATTCTCAAACCAGCACAATGATTGGACAACCATCCATCTCCACTGGTTCATTACCATTAAGAACAAGAACAAGAACAAGGCATCGGATGCTCCCGACCACGGCGAGCCCCCGGAGCCCGCCCGATCTGACTGTACATATGAAACAGGGCTCGGATGTATCGAAACTCCGGTATGGCTAATTGAGAACTAGAACAGAGCATCGGATGCTCCCGACCACAGCGAGCCTCCAGAGTCCGCCTGATCAAACGGCACATATGAACTGGGCTCGGACGCATCGATAAATCCTTGTATCAGCGGAACCTAGATAGGTTTAGGCACTTCTTCAGACCAGGACCCACCCTCATAAAAATGTCCTAAACTGATCACTTTGGACTGGCGGACTCCACACGGGATTAGCTGATCGTCACATCTTTTTGAATGATCTTTGTGGAAGAAAAAGAAAAATCAGGGTCGCATCGCCAATCCCAACACGAGAAAAAAAGAAGGTATATGCCCATGAAGAATTCCATCGATTGAATTTGAACCCAAACAGGCAGAGCAATAAGGAAGAAGCCCTTCGTCTTTCCACAATCTCCGGCCACATATTCGACTCCGGCGCCGCGGCGTCAAATTATTATTCAACAAATCATCTAATTTGCGACCGCAAAAGAATACCATCGTAATTTGTCTGTTGTATATCTATTTCGTTCGGCTCTTTTGAAGAGGGGGGAATTTTTTTTTTGACATTAGTTTATGGGAATGACAACAATGGAGAAATAGAAAGCAAGATCTGGCGCAGGTTGCACTGTGATTGCAAGCCTCTTCCTTCCCAGATTCCAGGAGCTACACGAATTCATCCACGGCGCAGGACAGACAGCACACAGGAAAACCGCAGTTGCAAGTCACGTAATCTAAATTAAAAACTATATAGAATTCATCTTATATTATTTTGTTCCAATCTTTATTTTATTCCCTAATTGAAGAAATCCTAGAATTATCGCCATCATCGTCGTCGTCATCAACGTCTTTAGAAATCCTTGAGCAGCTTCCGGACCTGCTCGAGGGTGACGAAGAGCACCACCGTGAACGGCCCCTGCCGCGATATCGTGGGGATGAACCCCTTGTACAGCGCCATCGGCCCTTCCGCCCTCACCGTCTTCAGCGCGCAGTCCGCCGCCCCGCTGTACGGCGGCTCCCGCCCCTCCTCCACCTTCATGTTCATCACCCTGGTCTTGATCACGTCCACGGGGTTCGACGCCACCGCGGCCACGAACCCGGCCGCGAAGCTCGCCGTCACGTGCGTCCCAAGCCCGTCCTTCATCAACCCCTTGGCCAGGATGGTCTCCTTGATCTGGTCGTACGACGCCAGCTGCGACGCGGTCACCAGCATCGCCCGGTTCACGGTCAGCGACGACCCCCGCCACAGGCTCGCCACCCCCTCCTGCCGCGCCATCCGTTGGATCGCGTCCACCACGCTCCGGTAGTTCCGGCGCTGCTCCGGCGGGAGCCGCCCGTCCGCCTGCATCCGCACCATGGCCACGTCCGCCGGGTTCCCGACGGCCGCACCGATGCCGCCAGCGATGAGCCCGGCCACGATTTTCCGGGTCAGCGGCATGTTCCCGGTGGCCGGGTCGGTCCACTTCTGCTTGAGGATGTCGTAGAGTCCCATCCGGGTGGTGGAGTAGAGGGTCTGGCGGAGGACGGTGGCGGACACGCCGGAGAACAGCGCGGCCACGCCTTCCTGCCGGAGGATCCGCGCGCCCACCGCGACCGGCCCGACTCGCGTCAGCGGCGGCGTCGGCGGCGGCGGCGGGGGCGCCACGTGAGCCCCGGCCGGCGCCCGGAACGCGAGGGCGGGGCGCAGGTTCTGGACGGAGGGGTTGGGAGGAGCGTGCCCCTCGCCCTGAAGCTGCATGCGGACCTTGATAAGGTCAAGAGGGTGGGTGGAGCAACCGGCCACGATCGAGGCTATGCCTCCTTCCACGAATCCCTTGACACCCATCCTACAAAACTCCGGCCGAAACACACGACCAAACCGGAACTCGACGTATTATATCGCCGCGACGCCTCGCCGGAATCAATGCCGGGATGGGAAGGATATCTTCCTGCTGCCGGTCTCCTTTCCTTTCCTTTCCTTACCAGTTGGAGTTGGGGTTCATGTCGCTGGAGACGAGGAGACCGGAGTGGTGGCCGAAGGCGACGGAGGAGGAGTGGGGGACGGCGGGCCTCTGAGACATATGCCGGCGGATGATCGACGTGTGGGGAAAGGGGAAGAAGGAAAGGAAAGGAGGAAAGGAGGAAAGAGAACGGTTGCTTGTGGTGGCGTGGGTGGAAAAGAATGGTTCAGGCGAAGAGGGAATTTATAGGAGGAGGGGAAGCGAAAGAAGGTGGTGGGAAATAGGCAAATTAGCGAAAGCGTTTCCGCTTTTTGCCTATTGTTGCTTCGGTAACGCGGTTCGTTCGTGGGGTTTGATTTTTCTCTTCTCGATTTGGGATTTTTATCTTCTTGGAGAGTCGATTTAGATGCCTTAACAAAAAAAGCCAAGTAAGGAAGGAGGGGTTGTTTCTTGACGACAGTTTAATGGTGTCGCTCTTTAGAAAGCGAGCACTTGGGCCTTTAAAGTTTGGCCGACCATCGACCGAGAAAAAGGTGGTGAGCACCGTCGAACACTCGGGAACAGGAAAATTGTCCAAAATATCCTAAATTTATTATACCTTTTTTTTTTATCAATTTAGTAGTAAACCTTTTGATTGTGCAAAATTTTTTTGGTCGGAATTGTGAAATCGCTGATGTAGACATCGGCTGTCTTACGTGGCGCGACTAGTACTGACATTGGCGGATTTTAATAATATTTTTCGAATTTATTTTAATTTTATTATTTCCTCTTTCTTTTTCCTTCTTTACTTTACTTTTTTTTTTTTGGTTAATGCCAGTAGGGGCCCCCTGGTTACTGGCCGTGGCTTGGCGACCCTCGCCGTGCACTGGGCGAGGGCCTGCTGGACCCTCGCTCATAGTTGGGCGAGCGAGGGCTCGTGGCCCTCGCCAGCCGTTACGAGTGCATCAAGCCCTTGCCCCAACTTTGAGCGAGGGCCACTAGGGGAGGGCTCGTGGCCCTCGCCCAGCTTTGAGTAATAGCCGCGAGCGCTCACCTAGTGGGGGTTGCCGGGTCTTGGCCGGTGGTCGGTGGCCCCCTACTGACCTTAACAATAAAAAAAAAAAGTAAAGAAGGAACAAGAAAAAGAAAGAAAAAATAAAAAAATATTATTAAAATTTGTGTACGTCTCCATCGACCGTCCTATGCCACATAGGATGGCCGACATCCATGTTAGCGATTTTCGGTCAAAATCGGTCAGATGTACTCAATTGACAAAACGTGAAAAGGTTTAGGACTCAGTTGACATAATTAAAAAGTTAATGACTGAATTGACAAAAGTGCAATAGTTATAGAACTTTTTGGACAATTTTCCCCTCTGTAACACGACCTCTTCTGACTCGGCGCTTTGCTTTGAAAGGAAAATACGGGACTTGTTGAGATCCCGGTTTATCCATCTAGTTGATCAGGTGATGAATGCGTCGGATCGTCGTTAATAATTAAACAGCGCTCACTTGCAGCCCGACACGTCGCCTAGTAAATCGGTTTTTTTTTTTCTTGTGTGGGTTAGTGTGCAATAAAGGTAGCAATTGCTCAACTCAATGGAGAAAAAGCAAAGCACGAGATGAGAAACTTCTGCATTTGATTACTAATGGAGAGTCTCGTGGACAAAATAGTTTCGCCCGTCGATCTCCAATCTCCGCGTAGGAGTGGCTCGCTGCGTTTCCACAAGCCCCATTGGTCCCAACTTGACTTTTGCTTCCTTGGAGCTTCGAAATTAGGCATCGTGTCGTGAGCCTTCTTTGACTTGTCTGAAATTTTTTTCTCTCTTTTTTTTTTATTACGAGTAATAATGATGTTTTTTTAAACTGGAAAGAGTGCACAAAGAGGAAACGGTGTCGGCAACCCTCTTCGAACTTTACCATAAGAATCTCACGCCCGCCACGAAATGTTCGACTTGAGTTATAATTACTCTAAATTGCTTAACTCCAACAAATCTCGCTCTCCGGTCCGCTCTCTAGGACGGCTTCGCATCCATGGATGTCACAAGTTATATTTTGAAAATGATTTGCGGTTTTTCAAAAGAGGAAGTTATTTCACTGAATTAGAGTGTAGATTTTTCGCTGACCGTGAAAAGATTTTTAGCCGACTATATGCTTGAACGATCTGAATATCGAAAAAACGAGGAGACTATTTTTCCGTTAATATTATCTTTTTTCTCAGATTCGAAATAGTTTCTCTTAGGCATAATCAGAAATTAATCATCCGTAATAATTTAGATAAAGCGGTCAAAATGGTTATTGAGTGTCGTGGCAGACGGAAATGGTCAAGGGGTCATACAAAAGGAGCTCCCAAGTATTTTATTAGCTTCTCTCCAAATGCCAAAGCCACAAATCTCATGAAGAAAATTCTTGTTTTGAGTATTTAAGTTTCGGAAAATCACTTTCTTTTTTCAATTTGAGCACCTTATATTCATGGACGAAAGTTAAAAATAATATTTTCATTTCAACGAAGCTCTCGGAATAAACCCGAATCAAACGCCATCATATTTGTCATTTCCGTTTTTCATCGGGCGACTCCTCATGATCGAAGTCATACCACGTGGACCGATACCATCCGATCCATTAATCATGCGGGTACCGCCGTGGGGCCAACGTGAAAAACGGACCGGGCGGACTTGATCTCCATGATCTGCGATGTGCCGTGTGACCTATCGTTGAGGCAAGTGTCCAATGTAAATCTGGCTTTATGACGTTCCGTGGAGGCACGATTTCTCCTTCATCTAGATGGCCGTCGATTGATTAGGACTAGGATGGTTTGAATGGGTATTGCTTGATGAGTCTCAAGCAGAACTTTGCATATGTCACGGCTCAAATCACATATAATCAAGTGGTCCGGCCAGGGTCAGAGGTAGGAAACATGCCTAACGACTTTGTCTTCTCAGCTTTGATTAAAGAAAGGGTCCTCAGCCAGACGAAAGGATGGTCGACCCCAACTGACTTTTCGCCTCTTGATCAAAGGGGTCCAAGTTCCATAATTATAGGAAATTCCAAGCACCACCGCAAACTCCGTGCAAAAGAGTCCAACACCGGTTGCTTTCGAGCGTGCTTTTCCAATTTGGTTTTAACACCGTTTCCCACCGAGTCGCATTGAGTGATCGGGCGGTGGATTTGAATGCAATGGAAGTTGGGTTCGAATCATTGAGTCTCCTATTTAAGAGTAGCCTTTAAGTGCCGAGTCTGTATTCTCATTATGGAGTCTTACTCGAGTCATGTGAACGGGAATCATGAAGATTAATCGAACCAATAGATTCCGCTTCAGAAGGGGAAAAAAGAAGTTAGTAATAATAAGCATGGAAGAAGCGAAAAAGTGGAAAGTCATCTCTGAGAAGTTGCAGAGTAGAATCGCCTGTAGTGCATGAAAATGAGACGCTTTCATAATCTTAATCAAAACCGATAAAGAAGTTTGGAACAGTGGTAGGGTCATTCGGGAGCACTCCTGCTTTTCAGTTTCCCCCATTTTTTCTTAATAATCCAAGAACATGAGCATGGAGATCTAGCCATTTGAAGGACCGTAAATATCCTGTAAGTCCCATAAACTAGTTAAGTTTAGACCTTTAAGCATGTGCATGTAGCCTTAATCCATGGCATTTTACACCCAATTTGAGGGATTGAAACGAGTGACATCCAGTTCTTGCGCTAGATATCCTCAAATGTCCTAACCAACTCCGCCAATTGTAAGGGATTGAAGCACTAATACTTAAATCACATAGGATCATGTTGCCCTGGTATAAAAAGTCCGGTTAAAGCTTAAACGAGTTTGAGTTATTAACAAGTTCACCCATTTATATGCGGATAATAATTATGTCGGTTGCCGTTCGACCATTTGAACCCGTTTATGAGACATTTTGACAAGTCTAAGTATACAAATTAACATGTTATTCATGTCTGCTTGGCATACACTATATACGTTTTAGACACTTTTTTAGTTACTTATATCTAAGAGTTCAAATCTTACATATGACTGTGTTGGTGGCGTGTAGCGCGCTCTTAATGGATGGGTCGTGTTTGATTTTAAAGTCGTGACCCAATCACTAAACGCATCGCATTCGGGTTATTAGATATAAATTCGACATGAAACGAAAGCACGAGTTGCAAGTCTAATATGAACTCAATATTAGCCAGATTTTTCTTTTCATTTTTATGTTATCTTAATCTAACGGTAAATATTTGCCGCAACAAATTTTACATTGTTAGAATTTGACATATCTTTAATGTATCTTCAAACTTCAATTTGGAGAATGACAAAGATCTACCCGATCCCACAACTCAGGTTCATAACCGATGCGTATCGCGATAAGTCCGCTGTCCTACTACAGGTGCTTCAAAGACTGAATTTAGCAGCTAACCCCAATTAGCAAGCTGAAAAAGCTCTCCCCCTTTCTCGAGTGGTTCTTTGTTGGTAAACTTCATAGCTCCATAAAGAGAGAAGGTTCTTGCCTCTATGCACTTATGCGGTGCAAAGGTCGTCTTAGGGTGCCCCACAACTCTCCGAGTACAAATAAATTAAGTTAGGATTTACATATAATGGTTCATGACAACCGCCAGTTGATGTAGATCCCACGCGAAGCACACGTCTTCACACCAGCACTTCCACACGTACATAGGTGGTCCAAGAAGGCTGTCAAGCACCATCAGTTATTGCCCAATGACATGAACAAGCACTCCTTTCGGCTTTTCATTGAAGCTTTAAAGCCCAAACAGACACCATGGGGGCGTGAATCCTCACCGTTTAAAGCAAGTAAGAAAATGGAAGCATCCAATCTCTTGGAACTTCTATAGCCAAAATAGAAAATGCGTTGGGGAGTTCCATTGCCTCTTTATATTCAACCCCAGTTAGATAAAAAAGCTCAACAATATCATATTAATTGTCAGGAAAACGAATTCATTCCAGAGAGAAATGAACCATTTGATATGCCAATAAGGCAGAAACGAAAAATGGAGGAAAAGAGATAACAGAACTCTGCTGGAGAATTTTCTGAAGCAAGGCTTCTTCCCCCTCTCTTCTGCAATCAGAGTTCAACGTCCAGAGTGCACTGAAAGCAGATCAAGGGGTTACCGCTCGACGGCGAACCTTCAAGGCTACTCTAGAAGCCTGCCCACATTACAGAAGTCATCGTGGACACCGGTGAATTAAAGACTACCGGTCGAAGGAAGAGAGAAGCTACATCAACCTCAACCAACCTCGAGTACTAACAATAGTAAAGTTCATAATTTGGGCGGAGCTTTTCACAGATAGCAACGGGATAGTCTCCTATGTAAATCCCAACTGGCAAAAACATGAACATATATATTTACTTTGAACCCAAACAAAACCGATATACATAATTCTGTGTGTCCACTGGACTAAAACCCAACTTTACATCTGCCTAAATAAAGCAAAGTCATGATGAATAGGTGATCTATGATTGCACTATGTTACTTGTCGTTTGAACCAAGAACCTGCTGCTTAAGCTCCTCTATTTTGGTAGCCAATTCTTCCCTACTTTCCTGCAAAAATAAGTACAAATTCAGCACGAATACTGAATTTCAAAGAAGAATATACACATGTTGCAAAGGCATGTACAGCACATAACAATTACCTTGAAAAGCACATAGCGTGAAGTAAACCAGAAGGTGTAGCCAAGACCCACCACTTCCATCAGCTTAGGGAACTGGTTTCAAGAAAATGGACAAAAATCAACACGCTTATATGGGACACCAATTTAAGGGTGTAAAAGAATAAATGTCACTCCGCATTTAAGTACATACCAATGGAATCGAATCAATGGCCCCAACAACGGCGGACACTAACCACAAGGCAACCACTGCACCACCAGCAAATAAGAGAATAGGAAGTGTATCCTCTGGGTCAACCTGAATGAAGCAAAAAGCAAGTCAGAATTTTCGCCTTCGTGATAAACAAAGCCTTTCCAATTCAAAGGAAAATACAGCAATAAAACGTCACACAAAAGAAGCACCGCAACAAACTGACATAAGCAATGGCTGAGGAAAGTCAAGTGCATATGCCATTACAAAAATAGTCCTCAAAATAAAATATTGAAAAAGGCTGCATATATTCACAACCTTTCCATTCTTTGTTTGATTTAACCACCACCAGATTACACACACCAGAATATAGCACAGATACAAATGAAAACAGTCAAAAGATTGTATGAAGAAGTAATATAATGCAGAAAAAGAAAAAGACATAAAAAACTGGAATTGTAAAGTGGAGTTCACAAGATCACCTCTGAAAGGCGAGAGAGGTCAGTGTCAATAAAAAGGAATGAAGTTCTCAAAACTCAAAAGAATGTTTCAGTGTTGAAAGAAATGCCAAATTGAGTTGCTCAGGTAACCGCTCAGATTGACATAATTGTCAATGTCTCATCAAGACAGAAGCTTTCATATAGAATTTAGTATCATCACAGCAACCAATTTGTCTACTGGCATTTCAGCACTTGGAAAATTCTTTAACAAACAACACCACCGTAATAATATGAATCAACAAACAAAATGAGAAAAGCCAATTGAATAATCAGAGTGTTGAAAGGAGCAGCAAATTGAGTTGCTCAGGTAACCGCTCAGATTGACTAAATGTCAATGTTTCATCAAGACAGAAGCTTTCACCTAGAGTTCATTATCATCACAGCAACCAATTTGTCCATGAGGCATTGAACACAACATAAGGAAAAAAAATCTATTACGAACCAAAAAAGACTACAAATGTAACTATAGACAAAGAAAGCCAAACAAATGATCAAAGATGCAACACCACATTGGAAGTATGTCAACCCCATATAAAGCATGATCTTGTAAAGACCTACTAAAAATTTAGACAGTCTGCCTGCAAACTGACAGTCAAATGAGCTTTATAGCTTACTTTATTGATGGAACACATGGAGCACAGACATCTATCAACATTAGTGTATAGAAGGAGAAGATGCTGATTATGCCACAGAAACCCTTTGACACAGAGTCATTTCTATAAAGAATTACACAGAGATAAGGAGTACGCAAATCAGATATGATATCTTAGACAACCTTTGAATTGATCTTCTCCCATAAGTCAAAAGATTGTTCTTGTACATCTGCGGGTGACTCTTCTTTGGGAACTTCTGATGAGAAATTTTCAGTGTAGGTATTTGTTTCAATCGGAACCTCTTCAACAATTGTCACACCATCACGATCTTCACCAGGATATCGACTTGATGTGTCTTCTGATGTAGTTGCTCTCCTAACTACTTTCCTGCAACACTCAAGTCCTACACAGAAAAAGGGAAAAATAAGGGTCGATCGGCCATGAGTCCACTCTGCGTGCACTTTATCTTTCAAACTATTGTGATGGCAGCTACTGCAAGATTAATCCTCTATGTAATTACAGTAACACAGCATGATCTGCACATTTGGGAGGGGGGGTTGGGGGAGGGGCAAGAGAGAGAGTATAGGAGTATAGGCAATCTAAAACACAAACAGACAAACTATACACCACTTACACAAGGAATGATGCGCCATTCAGATTGAACATCAACAATTCAAACCACCATTTGCATCTACTTGTGCACATCTTTCCATGGCCATTAAAATAATGGATGAGCAGGAGATTGTGATTTTCCAAAACAGGTAGTGCTTCTAATAATTTCCTTTTAACTGAATGTACATTAAATTGCAGAAGGCTATTGCTTAGTAACTCCAGAAGGACGAGCCATGTATCTTTTCGAGCATAATAACATAGACTAAACCAAAAGAGGCCAATATCAGCACAGGTTTTGTCATTACATCCTCCATATGGACGCCATCAAAGGAACAATATCACAATCAGATTAAACCAACAACATGGTATACACTCAACGTGAATACAATAGTTCGAATGACATCCTAAGAAGAAATCATTTTCGGGAGCTTTTGACTATTGCCTCTTTTCTCCTTCACCCCACAACAGTTTCCGCGACGCGAGTTCAGCACCGCCGCTCACTCCCACTAAAACCCAACACATTTCATGGAGAGCACACGGAGACCGTATAGCCAAGCGGTGCAGGCCAAAAATCAAGAAAGACCCACCGAAAGACAGCCAAGAAGGGAGCAAGAAACGAAGCCGGGCAAAGAGCTCAGCACAAGGAAACGAGAAGCGTCGGGAAACGAGAACCCACCATTGTTGCGAGGAAAGACAAGGGACCGGTTCTTGAGAAGGGGCAGAGGCTTGGAGGAAACGCGAGGCGGAGGAAGACCGGAGATGGGTTGAGCGAAGGAGGCCGACAGCAGCGCCATCTCTGGGGTACTGGGCGAACACAGTGAAGCCAACCCACGTCCAAGTATTTATGCTTGGTGGGTGTGTCTGCGCGCGTGTTTTATAGAGGGCTTCGACGCTTCGCTTGAGGCTGCCGTGAGGAAGGAAACGGCTAGGGTTGCGAACGAGAACCAAGAACCAAGAACCAAATGATGCGGTCCACCCACAAAGCTTCGTGTCCTGTTTAGAACAGAAACGCATCTGTCTTCATGCATCGAGTACTTCCATTTGGGATTTGGCCTCATCTGGTCCTATGTTCAAATTTGTGTGTAGCTCTTTATTCGTTTTCAAGAATAATAAGCAAGCAAGTCGGATAAATTAGAACGGTAAAATGAAAAGAGTAGCATCTGATCGGTAAAGAAAAAAATTAGGTAGGGACAATGTTATGTTCTCCGATGAGCAAAGAAGTGGTTTTGTCACGACTTATGTACCGCAGGTTACATAAAATTTAGGTGCCGCTCATGTAATTCCTTAGTCTAATGTCTCATTCAAAGATATTGTAGCTATGTTTCAAAGTTTTATATGTTGAGGGGTGTGCGAAGGGAAAACGGGGGTTTGCACTGATGTTGTTCATGGTTTTCCCTTCTCATAGAGTTCAAAGGCATTAACCCTCTAGAGATAATGTCGCCCTAAGCACGGGAACACGGGACTACGACGAGTTCCCGGCTATCCTATGTTTAGATTAGGAGATGAGATTTGAGTACGAGACAGATTAAACCTCACTTACATTTTACTAGAGTATTCCCCTCGAATTTGGCCGGGCCTGAGATACAAAGGCCGCCTTGGCGACACACGATGGACTGGCTTGGTAGATAATAGTGAGTTTTGTCTAAGAATCCACAAAGCTAGTAGCGATAGATGTACCGAGCACAAAAACTCTCATAGCAAATGATGGTCGAGTCCTATATGTTTCGTGTTACCCTAAAACGCTGCTTTAGCTGCCGTACTTCGCATCTTTGCGACAAATGACAGGAGGGTGAGAAACATAAGCACCAATCACGAAGTACAAACGAAATCCCAAGTGAATTCAGCTGTTGTTGGGGACTATGGATCTATATACTCGGCTTCGGCGCTTAAAGTAGATCTCCTTGTGGTCATCGGACACCAAAACCGAGCTGCATTAGAGAGAGCATATAACTCGGGCAAATACTCCCATTCCGTCACCGGCCAAAACCACCACTCAAACCGGATCATTAGCCATCACCACCATCACCATCCATTTGTCGCCATCACCACAGGTCACCAGACACCGGCTGCTCATGCCAGTCACCACTATCTCCAAAAATTCCCGACAACGCCACGGTCATGACCACCATGCACAACAATTCTACATTGTCATATAGCACACCCTGCTTTCCATGAACAAGTTTGCCAATGATAATTTGCACCGTAGATCAGTTTCACTGAAGCAAACTAACCCTAATTTGTCTTTAATGCACTGCGGGAAACCTAATCAAAATTTATCCAAGAAGATAAGCCATCCACATGTCGTGCATATAAGCCATCCACATGTTATATAGTACGACCTACTTTCCATGAACATGTGTTTAGGCTCTTTTGTCTCAGGCTATATGCAGTTAAGCCATCCACATGCATATGTTTATTGTCTCCTCATGAATACAATGTAAAATAGAAGAGATTCTCTCCCTCACATACCATAAATCAAGTCTATCTTGTAATCGATGAAACATATAGTACATATGATCTAGTATTGTACTCGAACAACACGAGTCTTCTGAATGAAATTCGCGTCCAGATCATTGGAAGATTGTTGATCTGCAGTATTATTCTCAATTTGGTGTATTTCTTCTATGAAGTCAAAAAAATTGATGAATGTCCATCCTTGTTGTCCTTTATTTCTTCTGAACAAAATGAGCAAAGCCAAGAGAATCTCTATCAATCAACTCTTGGTTTTTTGCGTCCATTTAAACTATACCTGCTGATCGCCATCAGAGGAAGTCTCTTTAAATGAAGTCGGGCTGACCCGTTGAGGTCAAGCAACGATGCCACATTCTGCTGTTTGGATCCACAGACCTAGCATACTGAATGACTTCTGGAATGGGGAAGTAGACATAGTGAGTGTTGCATATGCCTACTGTAATTCCACTGTATCCAGCAAATGCCCCGTGGACCTGCCAAAACCAGCATGTTAATAAAGCAAACCAAAGGAGTTGCTCGTTTGAGGGCATGTTGTTTTTATTTTTACTTTGTGCTTAATCTAAATCTAACAGTGGACACATGTTGGAAACACCCGAAATTTTCACGAAGTAGGGATGTTCACGCGTAAAATGACATAATTTTTTCATATTTTTTGAAATTTAGATAATATTTTAATATTTTGGCGGAAAGCAAAAAAAAACACGAGTCTCAAATAGCAAAACCCCCCTCGTAGTGTGGTCCTGGATTCAACTCTTGGCAAAAACAATTCCCTTGGAGTCAACCTGACCTCACGGGCCTTCTGTCCTAATAATACTCGGTCCGGTGGAAAGGCATGGAACTGAGGAACAGTCATGATATTTGGACTCTCTAAAAGGTCCAGGTACCCAACACTTCAAAAAAAAAAGAACACTGAAAAGAAGCAATCCTAAAACCCAGCGACTTAGTTTTGGAGAAGGCATTGAGGATAATGTGAAAATGATACCGATCAGTGCAGTAATTTTTGAAGGTTCATCTGAACTGTCACAAGAAAGTTCTACACTCCTTCAAAGTCTACTCCACTGTACATTTAGCTGAGTTACACAAGGTTATCAACTAAAACTGGGAAGCAAGTTGAACAAGATAAGAACAAAGTCATGAAATGAAAACCCTATATTTAGGATATGAAAGTATTTCAAGACCTTTTGGAGTGGACTTCATCATAAAACACTCTCAAACTCAGAAAAGAATAGACGAGGAGGTTGACTTACAGCATTTTGTCCTAGAACAGTACAGAGAATCCCATCTGATGCGTTTGCACGGCACGCACGGATCATGTATGTGGGATCAATATACTTCACATCAGCTGGAACACCAACTTCTTTAAAGTACTTCTTTGTCTGCAAGAAATCAAAGGAAAATATTGCAAAAAGGTCCATAATTTAAAATGCCCCATCCAAATCAGAATATCTTTTCATTTGGGCCAAACAAAGGAAATCATTTTCTCCTTTCATGCAAAGACAGAGGTCTGTTCATAAAAAAATGTTAGTCCAGCAGAGCAATTAAGATGCAAAAATACAGCATGACTGCTATTGTATGATACCAAAGTGTAAACACAAACTATTGAAGAGGAAAGGGCCTGGCTGGCTTGAAATTGAACTACACCACTAGAGATCCAAACACTTACATCCTGAACTACAGAGAAAATGAATTAAGTGCTTGAAAAACTTGACAACCAATGTTGAGAAACCTATATGATTTATCACAATCTCACCAAAGGATTTGATATGTTCTTTGAGTGAATACAGAAGCAAAAATGCAAAATGGAACCATGGAAATCCGACTACATTCAAACTTGATAATGACATGGACTACGTGCTGAGTTTACATGAAGGCATTCATGCTTTCAATCTTAAAATATCATTAAATACTTTTGAGTAGGACTGACAGACACTAATGTGCTAAATGGAGAACTAAATCCTAGAGAAGGTCCAAGTTCTACTATGGACTTTCCATATTTAGACCTTTTTCATGGAAATTCAAATATTTGCGACCTAGCTCATGGCATTTAATTATACTGGTCAAAGATTTTCCCAAACCCAATTTGATGTGAAATCACATGTTATTAGTTGATCACCTAACAACAAAAAGCATCGAGATTTCATGCCTTCTATACAGGAGTATATTCAGCTGGTGACAAGACTAACTTCAAAACAATCGAGACAATAGATTAGACGAGATGTGGACTTAAACGCATTGAAATCCGAGAAGAAAACAATGGCTAGTAACTCAAACACCCCCCTTAGAATTCAAGGTGTGTAAACACATCAAGAGACATTGTGAAGACTACCAGTTGACTGCGTGTACAATTGCCAAATATACATGCTTTCTTGAGTCAATTTATGAGATTCTTACTTTAAGGAGTTTATGATTACATTGTAAATAATTCATAAGTATTTGTTTATCATTTGCAAACACCGGGAGAGAGTGACTAAAATTAGCAAGAGAGAAAAGTCCACCGTGAGTTATTAACAAAAGAGGTATCGGCAGAAGTTGTAAATTCTGCTCTGTCATCAACAAAAGCAATTTGCAAATTCTACTGTGTAGGCGTAGTAGAAAAAATGGCTCTAGTACTGCCCATCAATAGAAGGTTGAAGTTCCGCTACGGGGCATTAGAAGAATGAAAAAGCTACACACGTAGAAGCAATATTCTAATACTTGTTTAGCTAGCACATTTCAACTTAATTGGGCTGCTAGAGCTAGACAACGAAATATAGGCACGTGTGACAGACTTTTATAAACAACAATGCTCGATCGAACTTCTCCCCATGATTTGTTTACTAATTGAGACACACTAATGAAAATTTTTTAAGATTAACATTAAGTCCCACCACAACCAGTCCACTCCCTTCTTGGTTTCAAAATGCTTAGACATAATAGGTGTGAAGTGGGGATCCATCACTTAGAGTTGCAAAAAGACATTTAGAAAAGAAAGAAGACATTGTGCTTTACCTAATGCATGGGCACAACTCCTGGCTATTGTGTCAAATAAATGCTTTCTGTGGGAAACATCCAATCCAAAATATGTTGATTAACACTTTAATGCTCTTATCTTTGAACAAGAAATCCATTTCTTAGACAAAATAAATCTTTTTCCATCACATAAACTATATATTCATGAACACTGACTGCCAGATATACTTTTCATAAAAGGGAGGTTAACTAACCTTTTTTGTCCACTATGCTTAGGTTATTTAATAACATTACTAAGCGTAACATAAAATCCACACATGGCATGAGTTTCTTTTCAGCCAATAGTATTCATGAGGATCAATCTGCCAAAGGGAAGGGCAAACACCAACCTCCTGTTGAAAATGCACACCGATATCACTCAGTACAATATTTCCAGATGCATCCTTAGCATTAGTTTTCTCGAGAAAATTCTGCAAACGAAAGAATAAAAGTCATCGATTGCTCAAGTCCTTGCTTCACGATCAAAGAAGTCAA